AAAAGCCTGAGCAATTACCAATGTTGTTCCCTGTGTTCCTTGTTATAACTAGACCATAAAGGAACCCCAAACCCTATTCTAGTATTCAGGGTTTTGGAAGCGCCTGCGTACAGGACTTTTCCGGTGTCTGCTATGGATATGGCAGGGGCGACGCGGGCTCAACAGCAGTACTAGGAGGATCGTGGGACGTAGTAACTGGGGTTATGATTAGGGTAACTATAGTTATGGCTACCTATGACTCCAATTGAGGTGCTTATAGCCCTACTTACTAAGTCCCATGATCCTGCAAGTAAAGAGCACTGGTGTTCTTCGTCCGGCTAGTTCGTAGGTGCTCGGGCCGTGTGTAATGCGAAAGTCCTGTGTCGTCAAGCTGCGGCCCATGCCCCAGTTTGAATCGAACCCCTAAACCTTAAACCCTAACCCCTAGGCGTTGCTGCGGAGGTGGAGGTCAGCAGCATGCTTTGTGCAGCGGCCACCGCCTTGCAGAACTTTGCCCTCGGGTCTTGTGTTTAGGGTTTAGGGTTCAGGGTTTAGCTTTCGCCGCAAAGCAGGCTTTCTGCAAAGCTTGATCGGCAAGCTCACGGGGGGGTGGAGGACTCCCTGCAGGTCTTGGACTGAAATCGGCCAGTTGCAAGGCCTATGCCACCCCTCCGTCGGGGTATAAATAGTTGCGAGGCTGCTCCATGGGAAATCGCAACCCATGCTCGGGATGCCATGCTTAGCAGCTCCAGCTTCTCTACGGCCAGGTCAAGCCGTCCTCCTCGTTTCGTCATGAAGAAGCGGCCTGCAGCAAAGGCCGCCTCAAAAACCCTGAGACCCAACATGCATCATGGCCCCGGGGCCTCATCTTAGGCGGCAGCCTGTTTATGGCCGGACGAGCACGGGCTGTCCGGCCATGCATCTCGGCAGTATTCAGGGTTCATACCTCCCAGCAAGGTGTTGCGACGGCCCGCTGCCCAGAAGCGACCCGCCGCCCAGAAGCGGAGTCTTGCAATTCGGAAGACCGAAGAAGTTCCGGGATCGCGCTACGACGACTTCAAAGACTTCGTCAGTCGCTGGTGTGCCAAGGCTTTCAAGGGTCGAACAACGTCCATCAAGTCAAGCCGGCACGGGCAGGTGCCGGCTAGCACCACACCTTCCTTCAGGGTGGGTTCTCGGAATGTTTTATGATTTGTGGTTTCCAGGGAATCCTGGCTTGTGTAGTTGTAGCATACCTGTAGTCTCCAAATCTCTCTTGTAGGATCCTAACTATAAAATTGTTTATCCAAAAAGGAACTACAATGGAGACTATAGGCAACGTGCTCGCTAGCCCCTCCGGTTTTAGGGCTCAAGTTCCAGGAGGTGAAGAGGCTCCCGTTCTGAGCTTCAAGCTCCGGGGCCCAGGGGTTTGTGGCTTAGGGTTGAGGGGTCTAGGATTTAGGGCTCCGGGGTTTGTGGTTTAGGGCTCCGGGGTTTGTGGTTTAGGGCTCCGGGGTTTGTGGTTTAGGGCTCCGGGGTTTGTGGTTTAGGGTTGAGGGGTCTGGGATTTGGGGCTCAGGGGCTTGTGGCTTTTGCATAGCTTGAACAGGCAAGCTTCTAATCTCGATCTTTTTGAGTAGGTCATAAGCTGCCTGCAGTAAACAGGGATAGAGCCCCAAAGACTCTACTGGTATCGGTTTAGGGTCTGGGGCTTTCGTGCCTCTAGGTTTTCCATTCAGCCTCTTCCCTTAATCCTAACCCTAAACCTTAAACCCTATACCCTAAACCCTTACCCTAAACCCTAAACCCTAAACCCTAAACCCTTACCCTAAACCCTAACCCCTAGGCCCCTAAAGCCCTAAACCCTAAACCGGATTCAGGAGTTGAGCATTCAGGGTTCGGGCCCTGGAGTTTAGGTTCTGGGTCTACTTGGAGGTTCATGGGTAGTTATAAGGGTTCCGCTAAGGGTCCCGTTAAAAGGGATCTGTAGGGATTCTATAGGGGTATGGTTTAGGGTCTACTTGGAGGTTCATGGGTAGTTATAAGTGTAGGGTTATAAGTGGGGTAACCGTACTGACAACCCATGTTAGGGGACTAATAGGCCCACTTATAACTACCCCTGAACCTCCAAGGAGGCAATTAAGCCTTGTTTGCGAGTCAGAGCTAAAGAGCACAGACGCGAAAATTGGGCTTTCCGGTGCAGAAGCTGATCTTCGAAATTTCTTTCGGGTGGGCTCTTAAGACTACGATTTACTAGCTGAGTGGATACACTTTACATTTTTTGGGTTAGTATTACCTACTTTAAAACTGAAAGTGTACACTTTTGGGGGCTTATGAACTCAGCAACTAGGACGAACCTACCATGTGGAGTTTATGCTGGGCCCCTTTGTTTCTCAGGCTCCGTTTTTTGGAGCCGCTTCGACAACCCTCATCTCCAACATTAGAGCCACAAGCAGTCACACGATACAGTCTTGCTGCTTCCCTGACCTTTTGGCAGGCCGAGATTCAGTACTTAGCCATAAGCACCCTAAGCCCTAAATCCCAAACCGTAAGCCCTAAACCAGAAACGCCTGGCGGTTGGGTACTTAGGGTTTGGGGTTTAGGGCGGTTTGGTACTTAGTGGGGCCCAGCGCATTTTTCTCCTGCAGCATATGGTGTAGGGTTTAGAGTTGAGGGGTGTGTTGCGCTGTACTTGGCCTCCCGTCGAAGAGGTCGGGCATGCAGTTCTATTTCACGCGGAATGAGGCCCCGAAGGGCCCGCGAGGTTTAGAAACTTCAGGTTTCAATTTTCGGACGAGTCTTAATCATATCCCTTCATCCTCCTTCCTAGTGTCGTCTATAAGGTTTCGGGTTCGGTGTTGAGCGTGTATAACCCCTGAGCTCTAGCCTTCAACCCTAAACTTGCATCGGGAGCCTCAACCCCTCAACCCGAGGTCCTAGTAGGGTTGATGATAGAAATCCTGCATTACCCATAATAAGGAATATACCATAATTCCCATAGTTTAGGGTTCGTAAGGTATAATAAGGAATATACCATAAATCCAATAGTTTAGGGTTCGTAAGGTAATGCAGGATCCATAACATCAACCGTAGTAGGGTTGAGGCTACAATCGAGGTCGGAATAAGTCCTAACAGTAGTCCTTTATAGCCCCTTCCATAGCTATGGCAGTATGACATATCACAAGACCCTGTTGTAATTTAGTAAGGTCGCTATATTCCTTAGAGGATCATGGGCTTAGTAAGTAAGGTTAAAAGTAACGCAAGTATATAGTTATATCTACTTATAACCCCAGTGAAGGTACTTATAACCCTACTTACTAAGTCCCATGATCCTCCAAGTATTGGGTTTGGCATATTGTGTTTGGCGCTGTTCAGCAGGAGCCTACATGGATGTTGTGACCCGCTACTTGGAGGTTCATGGGTAGTTAGAAGTAGGGTTAAAACCCATATTAGGGGACTTATAACCCTACTTGTAACGACCCATGAACCTCCATGTAAGGAGCATGGGTTGATGATAGGCGATAGGGTTTAGGGTCTGCGGCGGTCTGGGGTGTAAAGTTTAGGGTATACCTTAACCCTGAACAACCTACTTTTTTAGGATTCCTTATTATGATTTCCTTATATAAGACCTTCCGGGTTAAGGTAGGGTTTAGGTTTAGGGTTGAGGCTAGGGTGTATGGATGGCTCGCCTTGCGGGAATCAGAGTTCCGGGCTTCCAATCAGCTTCGAAACTCAAGCACCCCCTTTGCCCGGTTTAGGGTTTGGGGTTTAGGGTTTGGGGTTTGGGGTTTAGGTTCACCTTGCATTGGCAGTCCCCAGCGTTACACGTGAGACCACCACAGAACATTGCCGGGCAAGCAGTGTAATTAAAGCAACTCCCGCAAAAAACTAGGGCATCTCAAAGGAACTCGTCCATGACTTGTCTGAGCAGAATAGCAGCGTTTGCGCGCACTTCCATCATCTGTTTGAGTTTGCAGAGCAGGTTTTGTTGTGCCTGAAGGACTGGTAGCGGAGCCAATTTACCAGCAGCCTTAGCATGATAGTCAGCTTTGGCGTTGTGGTAAATACACCATAAGTCTCGGCTTCCAGTAGCATCATATAGAGACCTGTGAGCCTTGGTCCAATAGATATGCACGTCACCAGGGGCACGAGACTTAAGTAGAGAAATAGTGGTCTGCAGAAGATCGCGGTCAGGATGTTGAATCAATTCAGTGTCATACAGGGTTCCAGATAAGATCTGACGAACACGTCGCATGGTCGCCTCATTGTCGACATAAATAACCGCCTTACGAGACATCGCAATAGCCACGTTTGCAGCATGTAGTTCAGCGCGAAAAACAGATTGTTTGCGACCTGGCAAAAGGCCCGAAGATCTCAAGGTATTGTTTTTGGAAGACTCTTCTGCCTCTGTAACTGCCCAGGAACAGAGCAAAGCTTGAGGATTTCCCGGATCAAAAGCAGAGCCGTCGGTAAAGAAAAACCTGTGGCCCTCCAAATCTGGCAGAGGTTGGACATCAGGGTGTTGGATATTGTCCAGTGCTTTGTGGAAATTTTCGAGTTCCTCAGGCAATCCAGAAAGGCCACCCAGAACCTGGGAGTACGGCAGTGCAGCTACTTTGTCCCACTGAGGCAGCTGTCGAATATGTTCAGTCCCAACACATTCATACACTCTGTGTTTCAGTGTGTCCTCTTGGCCACAGAACTTGCAGGCCTCTTGTTCATCATTCATATGGTTGGTTCTTTTACAAGGAAACAAACCACCTAGGCGAACCTTACGCATAAACCCTTCCAGCATAGCATCCGGATGTGCAGGGCTTTGGGAGAATGCTGCAGAAAAACTGCATAGGTCCTCCAAGTTGTGTTTCAGTTGCAAGTGTTGTAACAAAGAGTGCTCCCAGGCTTGTTGTACCACTTGTAGGAACTGTGCCGTGGAGACCTGCCATATTGAGAATTCCCAGCCTTGATGCGTAATACAGCGACCCCCAGGGTACATTGCCCACCCCAGATCGTTCAGTTGGCTTTGGAACAATGAAATACATCCTCTATTTGCCCTTGAAGTAAGACTTTGCAAGGATAGACTGGTCCCAAACCTGTCGTACCAATGCTTCATGACGAGCAAAAAGTCTCAAAAGTGCAGAGAAGCGGTGTCTTGCCACGTACAATGAAGGCTCATAATGTTGCCCAGAGAAAAGTGGTGACAGGTAGTGCAAGTGGTATTGCTTCTTGCCCCAAACCGAGTGGTTGCACTTGGCTCTCACCTCTCTCAAGAAATCCTTGCCTGCTCTCCAGGTATTGCAGCCATAGAAGATCAAAGGGAAGATTCCCCTGTTGATCACCTGTGTTTTTCTGTACTGTGTCCAAGGCATGTACTGCAACCTGTCCAACAAGACTTTTGCTTTCAGCCACCGTTCCTCCCTCATTTGAGAAGTGGGTTGGGTAGCCGTCTGAAAGTTGACACCCAGACCCACCAAATTCCGTGCTTGCCCCAGGATAAATCCTTGTGATTGCAGCTTCCCTTGTAGATTCCTCGCCAGGGCCACTGAAGTCGCAAACACATGTGATTTTGGCAAAGAGAGGATCAGACCCAAAGAATCACAGAGTTTCTGGAGGGAGTCGACAGCCCCAGGGGCTTGTTGAATGTCTTGGAAAAGAAGCACCCAGTCGTCCACATAAGAATGTATGCAAGCCCCTGACTGGTTGTCCACAAAAGCAGTGCACAGCCATGTGACCAGAATCATCTGAACAACGGCAATGGGACATCCTTCAGGTACTCCCACCTCGGAATAAATCGCCTCTCCCCAATTGCCAGAAGAAGTAAAGAAACGTCTGAGATTTCGCAGGTAATCACCATACGGTCTCCAGAATTTCTCCATTCCCAGTTTCTTGTTAATCTTTTCCAAGATTTCTCTCGGCAGGGTATTGTAGGCCTTGGAGAAGTCAAGTGAAATGCCATATAAGTTCGTTCCACCAATAAGGGCAGACTCCAGTTTTGTTTGGATGAGCCCAATCATATCAGCAGTGCTTCTCCCAGGGACCGAGCCAAACAGGGTCTCAGGCAGATGGGCCTTGACATGTTGTAGCATCCTTTTTGTCACCAGTTTTGCCCAAAGTCGAAGAATAGAAGCCAAGACAGTAATGGGACGCGTAGTTGAAACATCTCCAATTTGGTCCGTTTTGTAAAGCAGAGCCATGCGAGCCATACAAACATCAGCCGGCCAATCTGCCTCCTCCGTGAACTTGTTCAACAACGCCAGTAGCGCCGGTCTCAATTGTAAAGGCAGGTATTTGAGTTCGAAGTTGGAGAATCCATCCGGACCGCGAGCCTTTCTTGGTGACAATGCTGTAAGTGCCCATTGTAGCTCAGATTCAGAAAACGTGGTCTGTATCTCCGGGAGTTGAGGGAGGCATCCAACAGCTTGTGTAATGATGGGGTCCTCAGGTCCTTTGTCCCTTCTGTTGCTCCAGAACTGTGTCCAAAAGTCGCCCGCTTGTTTCAGTATCGCGCGTGGATTCGCAGAGGGTAGAAATTGGGTGACATCCCCAGAGGTAAAGTTGCCTTGAAGCTTGCGAATGTGCACAACACCACCATCAATCTTGACAACCTTTGCCGACGACTTGCCTTGTTTCCAAACTGCACCAGTCACAACACATTGTAAGTCATCATCCAGCATATGGCACTTCATCGATCCTTTTTGCCGGGACCTTGCAATCTGTATCCTGTGGTGAGAAGGGATGTCCAGAGAGTCGACTTTCGGTCGACTGGGCGGCTTGATCGCCTGGTAGTACATGCTGCCACCTGACTTCCAGTTCTCAGCAAACACACTAGACAATCTAGCCTCTCTGTGTCTTTGGCAGACAGATCTCCAAGTAGGTTCCAGCTCCTTGAGAAGTTGAAGCATGTGGTCAGCATAGGCAGCCCTTGGCATGTGCAAGGGGAACTCTTCGTGAACCTCTTGCAGCCACCATGATCTGAACGAAGGCGGGAAGCCAGTGGAGCTGCATATCGCTCTCCAGGTTGCAGCCATTGCAGTCTGTAAGAGAGAGGCAGCTTCCAGCGATAGACCACCTCTTTCATAACGCAAGCACTGAGCCAGATAAGTCTGTAGGCGTCGGATTTGGCGAATCCGTTGTCTGAGGAGAATGGTGGATTCATCTCCTGACGGTGAAAACTCGCCATGTCTCGCAGGTTTGACCATCACATGTTGCGCCGGTTGGTGTGTAAACTTTGCAGTTCCACGGCCCTTGAATTTGCTTGGCATACAGTTGCCCGTGTAGATGTGGTAGGCGGCCTCCAGGGTCTCTTCGAAAGTTTGGCAGAACCTGTTCCAAGCTTCCGTGGCGTCAGCAGTCTGTATCGCCTTTTCCAGAATATCCAACGATCTGACAGGAACCTCAGCATGTAGCCAGACCTCCGAAGGTAGGTCCAACTTGGCCATGTCCATTGGCATTCGGAGTGCTCGTTTCAAGTGAGGCAACGCTGTCCAGTCAAAGGTGGCATTGACCGATCGGTGGTCTGTCTCAGGCAAGTCGGAGGTGAAGAAGCCACGAAAAGCAGGGGCCGCCTTGTTGTTGAAGAGGATGTAGTCCAGCCGCGAATCTTTGAAGGTAGGCTCCACGGGCCTTCCATCATGTACCGACTGTAGCAATGCAGCATCTTGCCACCCATTTGTTTGCATGTCCGACCATACTGCCAGGGCTTGAAGGTCACAGTTGATGTCTCCAATAATCAATGTAGGAATGTCCACGGTGGAGGCTCTGCACAAAGCCTCCCGCAGCAGTGTTTCATTTTTGATCTGGAAATCAGTGTAGCCTTGGTGGTAGCCGTAGACAGCAAAGACCCTGACTTGTTGGTCCTGGACCAATACATAGGTATCCATCACCCGGCTCGTTTGCCAGGCTTCCATGGACCAAGGCTGATGGCAGGGTCGTAGGGGGCAGACCGAACAGACTGCAACCCCCTGGGCTTTGCCCTTGGTTTGGCAAATCCTCCCATCCACGAAAGATCTCTTATCCACTGCTTGTCCAAAGGCCACATGCCTTCCTGCAGAATGCAACAGCTTGGTGGCCTTCTGCTCCACGAATTTGGTCGCACAAGTTTCCGAGCACACCAAGAGGTCAGTGTTGCCCGAAAGGATCCTTTTATCGTCCAAGAAGGCATTAAGCGATTGCACATTCAGCCCAGTAACTCGCATTTGTCCAGGGGGGCCAGGGTTTTTGGCCTCTCCCACTCTGGTTCCATGATACCACATCCACTGGCACAAAATGCGCCGATCAGGAGAAAATGAATTAGCCCGGCCCAAATTAGAAAGAAGATAGCAGCTGCAGTCACTTTTTCTGGCTCGGGAGCCATCATCCACGTAACTCTGCTGTCTCATGCATTTGCCACAGAAGCGGTAGTTGTTGTTCTGCAGCTCATGTCCATCCAGCTCATCTGCCAGATGAATTATTCGCTTGGCTCCGCCTCACTGGCGGGGCTGTTTCTTGGCATCACCCTCTTTTGGAGGCGAGGGGGTCCTCTTTCGGAGTGTGGACATTTGCTGGCTGACCTGCTGAAGAAGCTCCTCTTTGAGGTTCCCTTGTGAGGCCTTGAGCTCAGCAGAGAAGTCTGCTTTCTGTCCTTGGATAGCCGCTGAAATCTGTGCCAGCTGCTGGGTGAGCTGCTGTGAGAAGGCCTGGTTCTCGATCTTCAGCTGCCCAATGCCATGCTTGAGCTCATTGTTGATGCACTGTTGTTGCTCCTTGTGTGCCACCAGGGAGTCCTTGAGGTTGCCAATGTCTTCCTTGAGCATAGCCTGTGCAGATAGTTGTTCACGCTGTAGTTGTTCAATCCTTTTCTGCAGCTTATCCTCAAGGTCGGAGGCCTGTGCCATATCCAGGTCCATAGGTGCACTTCCTTTGCCACTTGCAGGTGGCATGGATGAACCAGCCAGCAGCCAAGGCATGTCTCTGATAGTCCTGGCTGGCTGCTTGCCTTTACCTTGGGCTTTGGCCTGTCTCTCCGTGATGAGGATGGTCCCGTGCTCAGCAATGTGGATGGTTGCTTGTGGGGGAAGTTCCGCACCTACCAGCCACACCCGGGGCTTGATCTGGCGAATGGCCAGGGCCGACCACTTGACAGTGTTCAAGAACTTTTGGACCTCATTCTTGGAGCACGACACCGGCAGGTTCTGGATCTCGTAGTAAGCCTTGACGTTGAGACCATAGGGTGTCCCATCTTGTGGTTTCCAAGCTGGTTGCCATCTCTGTTTCAGCCGCATGTAGTCGTCAGCTTTGACCCGGATTCCAGCGCCCGTCTTGTTCCGGACCAAACCAAAGGCCTTCGGCTCAGAGTTGGCAAGGATGCCCAGTTCCTCCACAGTCTTGTCAGGAAACCAGACGACTTTGAACGTGTGGTCAGGGGCGCCGATCTCTGTACGAGGAGCCAAATAGATGCCAGGGTGGGTCACCTTGAGGATGGCATCTCGAAACTCCCGCTTGATTCGGAGCATCACGAAGCATGACTCAGCAGACCGGGGGTCCTGGGCAGGCTTCCCTTTGGCGAAGAATCTTCTTCCCCATGTAGAGAAAAGGGCATTGTCCAGTGATTCCAGACGCTTCTTGAGGAACTTGACGACACCATCCACCAGTTCATCCCAGTTCTCTGCTTCTTTGCGAATGATCTCACAGGACAAAACAGCACCATCCAGCTCCTCGATCGTAACCTTGGCGTCTTCCCCAGCAACAGAAATTTCCTTGTCTCCCAGATTCAGCAGTTGTGCCCGAACCAGGACTCTGTTGTCATCACCGTTCCGGCAAGGGACTTCCAAGTCTTTGAGCTTGAATCTTCCAGAGGTCTTGAGGTTGGAGGCAATGACGATCACGGCCAGCTCGTTGGGGGACATGGTATCTTGCTGCTGGGCCAAGATTTCAGCTTCTTTTTCGGAGACCAGGACGATGCCAGTGGATCCATGGGTTGCCTTCTCCAAAAGGGGTGGAACTCCTCCATCTTGTAGTCGAAAGAAGGAGGGCTCGATCTTCCATGAGCGTCTTTCTCTGATCGCGGCGGCCCAGGGATCACTTGCTTGCATGGGGTCGGCATCATCTTTTTGTACCTCCTTCTGGCGAGGTTTAGCTTTGCTCTCTGCTTCCTTGACCAATCGGAAGTTGCAGCCAGCTTTGATTTTCGTCCACGGGTCGAACGACTCATAAGCTTCTTTGATGCCCCGGTCCCCCAAGTGGGCTCTCACTTCCTCCACTCTTGCATCCAGGGCCTCCGCTGGTACTCCTTTCGCTTGTAGGAGTCCTCGAAGCTTCTTGATGGCCGCTGCTGTGCCACCACGTAGTCTTCCTCGAACCTCGACGGTGGCTGTTACGGGGATTCGGTCGCAAACTGTTGCATTACCAACAATCTTGCCCTGCATCACGAAGTAGATCATGTCTTGTTGAACTCCCCATTCATCCTGCACCACTTGCTGGAGGGTCCTTTGGTCTGCATTGGAAATAGCCACAGCCTGCCCCTGGAACTTGATGTAGAAAGCCGAGGCCACAGTTGCAGGCAGGGAAGCAGAGTAGTAGAGCATGGTGGGGGCAATCGCTTCATCAGTCCCCAGCTTCATCGCAAGGTCTGTCCTCGGCCTTTTCAGGACCGGGGGTGACATAGCGTCCTGGAAGGGCATACCTCTCGCTGGCTGTTCATCAGCATCCGGGGCCGGATCATGAGGAGGATTCGGTGGTGTATCCGGCATGGGTTCCGTATCGGAACCTTCTGGGTCGTTGGCTGGGCCACCTTCGCTGCTTTCTGGATCCTCAGCTGGTGGTGTAGGAGGAGGTGGCGGAATGTCATCCTCGTTGGCGTTCATGTGGTCGAAGACGTCGAGGTCCTTCCAATCCTAAGGTAATCGCCACAGGCCAGGGAGATCGGCCAGAGCAAGACCTGGCATCCATTGAGCTCGACTGAGTCCGGGTAGGAGGCGTGGCAGTCTTGGTAGGTTCGCACCAGGTCATCTCTTGCAGTTTCAGTTGGCAACCATTGGGCCTGGGGGATGCCTGTATCCACCAGGACAATAGCTTGGTCAATAAGTTGCGAATTGATCTCACCAGCCACAATCCAGTGTCTCATCTCTTGCACTTTGTAGTTGACCTTCGCGACCGCCAAGAGGTTGGGAGGAACACCAAGGAACTCTGCAATCTGCTTGTGGACTTTGGCAGTGGAAGCCTCCTCGTCGATGTTCATGCCAACATATCCATTTTGTACCTGGTAGATCCTGTGCTCGTAAAACACCTCCCCTTCTTCAATCAGCTCCTCATAGGCTGGGCGGCAGGACTCAGGCAGGAAGGGGGGAGGCCGAGCTCCATCCGCCGGAAGCATTGCCCTGAGCTGGAGCCTCAGCCCCGTGATCTTGGTTCTCAGGCTTCCATCTGGACCTTCTTCAGCTGTCGCACCATCAAGAAGCACGGTCTCCCATGTCTCATAGGAAAAAGGCTTGAGGAGCTGGAACTTGCTCCATCCGGCCCTCATCGTTTTGCACCCCGTCTCGAAATATCTGAGTAAGGAATCCTCAGACATCACCATTTCTTGGCGGTGCGCGATCGCCGTGCCCAAGACCTTGAGAGCCAGAGAGGGCACGAGCGCCTGGGCCAAAAGGAGCATGGCATCGTTCTCCTTGTCCGGCAAGATGAGGTCGCCCGGGAGCCCAGCTGCTTTAGCCACTTCCCACTTGCTAAGGAGCCGGAGTTGGCCATCCTGCTCCATCAAGGGGAGGTTCATCCCTCTCTTCATCAAGATTGGCCATGGCACATCCAGCAGGTCCGGGTAGTTGGCTGGCACTGCAGGCATTGGTGCAAACTGGTTGACCAGGCGAATATGGACCGGGGCCCCTGTCAGGTGCTTCTGGTAAGGAGGCAAAAGCTCCCTCGAAGTGACCTTGGCCATGTACTCTTTCTTGACCACCAGCTTCTGCAGGAGCTCAGGCTTCATCTTTCTCCACAAGGTCTCCTCACACGGCACCGGTGCCCTCGGTCCCGTCTTTAGCATCCGGAAAGGTGTGGAGGCACTTGGCTGGTCTGCAGAATTCCAGTAGACCATGAAAACCTTGGGCTTGTCCATTGCCGTGAGGGACTCCGAGTCCAGCTTGCCCTTCCAGACAGGTTGGTAGCCAGCCCACTTCATCATGTCATCAAAGGTCTTGGCATCCTGGTGGTTCGAGAAGGCCAACGAAGTTTCCACCAAGATCACTCTGCGCTGAGTCATCCTGGCAACCATCGCCAGTTGCCACCAACCTCCAGTGTTGAGGGAGTCCTGGAAGCCTTCTTTCTGACCCTTTCCATTCCACGTGTGGCTAGGAGGGGAAGCGCAGAGGATCTCAATGTTGGAGTTGTGAAGGGCTTCCGTCCAGCGAAGGTCCAGCACCTCACCCCAGAAGACACTGAAGTTGTTCTGGTCCACTCCTTCCTTGAAGAGCACCTCGTTGGGGAAGTTCATAAGAGTTGTGGCAATAGCCAAGCCACAATGATCCACTCGGAGCACCGGGTAAGCTGGCAGTTGGCGAGCAGCTCTTGACCATGCATTGATCCCTCCACAGAAAAGCTCAGCAATCCCAACCACCGCGTCTTCACGAGTAGGCAGCAGGATACAGGCTGAAGCTTCTGTAAACGCAGGGAGCTTGAGGTAGGTGGTGTCGTCCATAGTCTGCATCTTGGCTCCAACCACCATGTACACTTGCTGAGGTAGCAGGCGAAACTTCACAGCAGAACTGTCGATCTGGATCTCCTCGTTTGTAAGTTGCGGCCCACGGTAGAGCGGCCCTTCTGCAAAAGTGTTCGGGAGTTTCAGATTCACCACCGCTGCAAGCCCATGGTGGGTGGTATCCATTTGCACCACCTTCAAGCATACATTGAACTTCTCGCCGTCGTGGAGGGCATGCAATTGCTGTGTGATCACATACCCACGGCTGCACAGCTGGTCCAGTTTGTCCGCCACCGTCGGGGCAGCAGAAAGGCACCGAAAGATATCCATGGCTCTGCTCAGCGAAACCAGCCTCACCGCTGGGAGGTGCAGAGCCGAGAGGCTGGTTTGGGGTTTAGGGTTTAGGGTTTAGGGCCCCCCCCCCCCCCCCGGATCCGAGAGATCAAGTGCCCTTGGTCCTAAGCGAGCATAGAGGGTTTGGGGACGACAGAAGCCCTGAACCTTAAGACTTAAGCCGTGAGGAGCCGTCAGCACGACTACCCGGCAAAACCCAAGAACAAACCTGTGACCCCACCCCGAACGAAGCGCCCCTACGCTCAGTAACCCCCGCCCGCTCAAAAAAGAAAACAAGCCCTCTGCAGGACCAGTCGCAGAATATCTCCCCTGTGATCGAAGGGAGGGGGTATGGCAGCCTTTATAGCGCAGCCTGGGTCTCGGAGACTCTTGTTCCAGGGGATGGGGTCTTTAAAAGGGTTTAGAATTCAGGTTCTAGGGACCTCAAGGGTTTAGGGAAGTTTAGGGTTTTGGTCCTTAAGGTGTTTTAAAGTGTTTTGGGCTTTAGGTCTGGGTCTACAGCTCGTGTATGGTTGAGGGTTCGAGGCCTTGTGTCCGGAGCCAAAGAAACACTCAAACACAAACTTCGGGTGGGATATCCCTATCTTACTGGCTTTATCAAAGAGGGGATTCTGGGATATTTCAACCTTATGCCTTATGCTTATGGCTTAGGTCCTTTTCTGGATCTCGATTATGGCTTAGTAGTAGAGTAGGTAACCTTTAACCTGTTTTTGGGTAGTATAGTCCCTATATAATCCCTATATAACCAAAAAGTTTAACCTTTAGTTCGCCATGATACCCGACAAGTAGGTTAGGGTTCCGTATAATAAGGTTTTGCTACTGCAACATGTTGTACCCCAACACCCTATTGTACTTCTTGGGGCCCCTGTGTTAGATTGGCTTGAGGATTATGTTCTTCCTGTGAGATGGCGTTTTGGGGTTCGAGGCTCTGGGCGCTTTGGGCTGTTAAGTTTCAGGTTATTCAAAGGGGAAAAGGAGGGACCCTTAATGGGGACCCCTACCTTATAATGGGCTATATAATGGGTATATAATAGCCACATTAAGGGTATATACCTAGGGCTCCTTATTAAGGGTACCTCCTTTTCCCCTTTGAGTTATGGTTTGGTCCCGGGGGGGGGGCTTTTCCTCGAGGGAGAGAAAGGCTCGGCCTCTTGACTCTAGACTCTAGATCCGCTCTTCCGAGTTTCACTTTAAGGGTCCCTTTAAAGGGGTCTATAGGGATTCTATAAGGGGTATAGGGTTTAGGGTTTACTTGGAGGTTCAGGGGTAATTATGAGTGGGGCTAGAAGTCCCCTAATAGGGGAGAAAAGTTCGGTTACCCCACTTATAACACTACATATAACTACCCATGAACCTCCAAGTAGGGGCTTGAGGACTCATGGAGGTTCACGGCTTTTTGGATTTGTGATCATAATTCTTGACCCTAAACTCTTAACCTGAGCCTTAAATAAGAGGTCCCAGTGGAGGGGACCCGTGTAAGTTGCACTTTGCCGATGCCTACGGGGTCTGCAAACAAGACTGTTCCGCAGGGTTCCTTACTACATTTTACATATTAATATCTACAGTACGGCTGCAACATATTCATCTTTTCTAGAGTATAGTATAGTAAGGTATACCTTAACCTACCAGAACCTACTTTCTTGTAGGGAGATGTAGGTAGCTGTTATAAGGACCCCTAGTGTGAAACACGTTGAAACCCTATTCCTAGCTCCCAGTTCAAGCTACGACCTGCGTTCTGTCTCATCTTGCCGTGGTGATGTTACTATAGGGCCTAAATAATTGCCTATATTATTGTGGAGATTCCTTATTATTATGATAGTTATTAAGGAAGGCCCCTATTTAGGGACCCCAGAAGCACCTAAGCATAAGCATTTTATAGGGATATCCCTACCTTAATGAATGGGCTTCATGATAGGGGGGTTTATATGGGATATCCCTATCCTCATTTTTGCTTATGTGCTATATTATCTTCTTGTTTCATACACTGCAGCCTCCGTCCCCGACCTGAAGCCCAAACCCGAAGTAGCTTGTAGCATGGGTACGACCCCCACTCAGTAACAGTTGAATAATATTCATGATTAGATATATTCGGACCTTACTAGTAGCCCTATTACAGACTCTTATTGTACGGGGGCAGTGCCTAACTTATGGCATAGGCCCCGAGCGCCTGAACAGGGGGCACGCAACCCTCCATGCGACATCCCCAGCAAAAAGGAGGTTCTCAAGCCCTAAACCCTGATCCCCTATATGCCCTAAGCCCTAAGGACTTTTGTTTATATAAAGAACTCCTAATAAGGAGCCCTAGAAAGCTAGGTTGTTCAGGGTTAAGGTAAACCCTAAGACCTGGAGACCACCCCAAAGCTGTAACCCCAGCGGACGGGTTCAGGCTTTAAGGCTTGGGGCTTCGTTTGAGGGCTTACTACGGTTGACGATATATATCCTGCATTACCCTAAGGACCTTAAACTGTGGGGAGTATGGTATACTCCTTCTTATGAGTAATGCAGGATTTATATCATCAACCGTAGGTAGGGCTTTGGGACATTTTAAACTTGCTCTTATTGGGCTTAAGAGGGTCTTACCTACTAACACTTTTCAAATGCTTTAAAAGCACCTCCTAGCTTACAGTAGTAGCCAGAAAGTTGGAACATCATTAACCTCATGCCCTTAAGGTAAAGTATAAGGGATCCTAGCACTAATCCTCCTAAAGCCATGTTCCAACTTTCTGGCTTATACTGTAGGGGTTCAGGATTTTGGGATTCAAGGTTTCGGACCCAGGGCCGAGTTTCGGAAAGTTAGCGCCTGCACCTCAAATCTCAAACGCTCTGATCTACCTATAGTCTCCATTGTAGTTCCTTTTTGGGGTTACCTTTTAGGATCCCTAATATAGAATTGGTTAAACCACAAAAAGGAACTACGATGGAGACTATAGGTAGGTTTTGGAGTAACATACTTGATTCCTTTTTTTTGGACCCGCTCCCTAGAAACGAAAGCCTGAACTTTTGTCTCTTTGCCCAGCGATATAGATCCTAAACCCTGGTTACTTCAAAGCGCAGCGGGCAAACATCAAACAGGAGCTCCCCAAAACCGAAAACCTCAAAATCTCCTGATAAGATCCTGGGCGCGTCCCCAAGGTGGCGCCTGTGGGGCATCAGAGCCCTGGTAGGTGAGGGCTCCAGCGGATTCCTGGTTTAGGGTTTATAGGGTTTATAGAGAGTTTATAGGGTTCATAAGGTTTCTAGGGGTTATAGGGGTTATAGTGTTTATAGTTCATATTCTTCGTAGGGGCACTTAGAAATATTTCTTCAATTTTGGTTATTCTAATCCTTAAGAAACAGCTAAAGTTGTAATTTTCTAGGGTTCGAAGTTCAGTATAGCATAGGGCTGATAGGGTTTAGGTTTTGAGGTTTCGGCTTTGGGTCTAGCGTGTGGGATTTGGGGGCAGGTTTCCTTATAGGATCCTTAAAGGAGGGTGGTGCAAGGGGGGAGGGTATAAGGAATCCTTAGGGCCTTAGGGGGACTGTAAGGGAGCCTTAGGGAGTACTAGGGAGAGTTAGGGATCACTAGGCCATGTACCCCCCTTGGACCCCCCTCCCTTAAGGATACTACAATTTCCGGTTCAACAGGCGTGTCCAGCTGGCTGAGTGGTTCAGTGACTCCAGCTTAGTAGCTGAGTGTAAAGTGTTTTGGGATAGTACTAACCACTCTAGAACTGAAAGTCTACACTTTTTGGGGGCTTATGAGCTCAGCAACTAGGCCCTAAACCCCACACCCTAAACTGACTGCCAGCAGCGGAATCCAGATTTCGAGCATCCCAGCGCCACCCAAAAATCCTTGAGTCCGAAGCCCTTTGCCTCGATCCCTATTTGGGGTTTAGGGGTTTAGGGGTTTGGGGGTTTGGGGGTTTAGGGGTTTGGGGGTTTGGGGGTTTGGGGGTTTGGGGGTTTGGGGGTTTGGGGGTTTGGGGGTTTAGGGGTTTGGGGGTTTAGGGGTTTACTTCAGCAAACCACCCCCACCCAGACCCCCAGTTACAACAACAAGCCTCGTCCTTTGAGTCCTGCGAGGGCTCTGCTTAAAGGATGAGGAGACTTATTAAAGGTCCTTTAAAAGGGATCTATAGGGTTCCTTAAAGGGATCTAGGATCTATAGGGTTTAGTTTAGGGTTTAGGGTCTACTTAAAGAATCATGGGACTTAGTAACTAGGGTTATGGTTAGGGTAGCTATACTTATAGCTACTTATAACCCCAATTAAGTTACTTATAACATTAATTACTAAGTCCCATGATCCTCCAAGTGGCGAGTCCGGGCAATTGGAGAAAGCATGCGCAACAAATGACAATCAGTGTGTGAGCACAGTGCCAATGATGGGAGTTTCTGCCATGCCCTAACTACTGTAGGGTTTGGGTTTTGTGGTTTAGGAGTCGTGCAGGGTTTATGAGAAATGTTTTGGTTAGAGCTTAGGGCCATCATGATGGTCTAGGCCTTTTGGCAGCAAAGACAAGCTGTGCCACTGCCGAACAACCTGCAGCAGATCCGCTGTTGGGACAATCTGTTCAGGATCGGCTAGGGTCGCAATTTGGGTTTTAGATGGGCTAGGAGAAACTTTATCCGACAGCATTTTACAAACCCCAAATGCGCAGAATCTTCTAAAACCTTAGCGCCCAAGCACAAGGTCTTGAAGCACTTTCACAAAGCCTGCAAACACCTCCTGAATTCAGAGTGCCCCGACGACCTCGACTCCTGCTGCGGGCGCTGGGCCACTGGGGAACCGAAGCCATACCTTAACCCCGAGTATCCTACCTTTGTAAGGATTTATGTAAGGAAATCATATTAAGGAACCCTCAAAAGGTGGGTTTCTTAGCGTCCAGGTAAACATACAATAAACATCGTAGTTTTCGGAATTCAGGGTTCGTGGCGTCAGCGCTGCAGGTATTGGAACATCGATGCCGAAGCCGGCGAGGTGGTTCCGGCAGTGTGT